GCAGGTGGATCTCTGTGAGTTCAAGTCCAGCCTGGTCTACATAGTGAGTTCCAGGACAGCTGGGGCTACAGGGAGACCCTGCGTCAAAAAAAAAAAAAAAAAAAAAAAAAAAAAAAAGAAATGAGCTTAATTATGTGCACACATGTATGACATATGTCTGCAGTATGCACGCCTATACACCTGCATGGAGGCCAGAGGATGTCAGATGTCCTGCTGTGTCACTCTCTCCCTATTCCCCTGAGACAGGGTCTGTCACTGAGCCTGGAACTAGGCTGGTGACCAGCAAGCCCCAGTGACTCTTTTACTGCTCTGGATTACAGGCATATGTGTGACCACATCAAGATTTTTTTTTTTTTCTCCAGACAGGGTCTCTCTGTAGCCCCAGCTGGCCTGGAACATGCTATGTAGACCAGGCTGGTCTTGATCTCACAGAGATCTGCTTGCCTCTGCCTCCTGAGTTCTGAGACTAAAGGTGTGTGTCACCATGACCAGCTCACATTAAGATTTTTAACCTGGGTTCCAGGGATTTGAACTCAGGCCCTCATGCTTTACCTGCTGAGCCATCTTTGCCCACCCAAATGATATAGGCATTAGAAACAAAGGCACTCAATAGCAAAACTCAACCATTCCTAATTACATAACTGCATTTCCTACTATCTGTGTGCTTGTGGCTACCGATGTCCACTGGGAGATCCTGCTTGGCCCTTCCTGGCTCCAGTGTCAACCATGTTTAGTGTGCGTAACTATTTACACCACAGAAACTGGCAAGTGCTACCAGGGAGAGCTTAGTTAAAAATGTGTTGAGTCTAGGGTTGAAACTGGAGTAAGTTCTGGTTTAAGGAGTGTGATTCATTTCTTGTGAGAAATAGCTGAATTGTAGATCACATATCAGATTTTTTAAAAATAATTTTTTGACTTATTTTTATTTTACGTGTATGAGTGTATTGCCTGCATGTATGTAAGTGCACCCATGTCATGCAGTGCCTGGGGAGGATGGAAGAGGGCATCGGAGCCCCTGGAACTGGAGTTACAGAGAGTTGTCAGTTGCCATGTGGGTGCTGGGCCTCCTGTAAGAACAGCTAATGCTTTTAACAGAGAAGGCATCTCTCCAGTCCCGTTTTTTTTTGTTTTTGTTTTTGTTTTTGAGTTAGAGTTTCACTTTGTAGCCCAGGCTGGCTTGGAACTCACTATGTGGTCTAGGCTGGCCTCAAATTCATAGCAGTCCTCCTGTCTCAGCCTCCCAAGTGCTGGGATTACAGACAGCAGCTACCACACCTGACTGCATGTCAGATTTATTGACGTAAACCTTCAGGAAGAATAAATAAATAAGTAAATAAATACACTTATGTGGAGCTGCCAGTGCAGCTTGGTTATGAACATGAAGTTTCATCAAAAATTAACAAAAGCATTTTGTGAGAACCAACTAGTTATGGATTGTAGGAAAATGACACAACCCTACCTTCATTTCTATCACTGATAGAATATCCTAACAAAAAGTCACTTAGGGGAGAAAGGGGCTTATTTCAGCTTGTATTTCTAGGTTACAGTCTGTCATTGTATAAGAAGTCAAGGCTCACAGTCAAGAGCAGAGAGAGTGCTTGTTCACTCACTCGCTTGTGCTCAGCCCAGTTTCTTCACTCTTAAAAAATTTTTTTTTTTGCTTTACTTTTTTCTTTTTTTCTTTTTGAGACAGGGTTTCCCTGTAGCCCCAGCTGGCCTGGAACTCACTTTGTAGACCAGGAACTCACTTTGTAGACCAGGAACTCACTTTATAGACCAGGGTGGCCTCGAACTCACAAAGATCTGCTTGCCTCCCAAGTGCTGGGATTAAAGGCATGTGCCACCACGCCCGGCTTGTTTTATTTTATTTTATGTGTATGTGTGTGTTGTGTGGATATATGCAAGTATACCCATGATATGCAATACCTGTGGAGGACAGAGAGGGTGTTGAACAGAAGGTGTTGAATTCCCCTGGGACTGGAGTTATAGGCAGTTAGGTGCCATGTGGGTGCTGGGATTTGAACCCGGGTCTCCTGCAAGAACAGTGAGTGCGTTTCACCACTGAGCCATCTCTCCGGCCCCAATTTCTCCACTCTTACACAATTCAGGACCCTCTATCTGTCAAATGCTGCTGCCTAGGATGGGCTGGTCTTCCTACATCAATTAACTCAATTAAGGAAATCCCTCACAGACGTGCCCACAGGCCAACCCAAAGTAGGCAATCCCTCATCAAGACTCTGCCCATATGGTTCTAGGTAGTGTCAAGCTGACAATGAAAGCTAACCATGACAAGAATTTTGGAAAAATTATTTGTCAATGAAAGTGATCTTATATCAGTAATAGTTACAGCCAACTAACATACACATAACACACACACACACATACCCACAATTTTATACATGCACATGTTTCCGGAATACTGGGAGCTGAGCACTGATGTCATACTGGGGCTGTCTTGGGGGAGACAATGCAGCACAGAGTCAGGGAAGCAGTGCCCTCTACCAGAGTGGTCAAATCAGGTTTAAGAAGGGGCCACAGGGATGTGGCAGAGGCACCACCCCAGTCTGGCAGGGTCAGAGCAGTCTTCGTGGGGTGACTCAGGACAGGGTCAGAACAAGATCTGCTAGACTGTGGCTGTGATGAAAGACACCTTGGGAGGCCATCTGTGTACCTGCATCCCTTGGTTTTTGTGGGTTAGTCGATGAACCATATTTCATAGGCACAAACTCAGACTGAGGCTAAAGAATGAGCAAGGAAGAAAGGGCCAGGCCTTCAAGACGGTCAGTGGGTAAAGGTGCTTGCCATTACCTGAGTTTGATCCCTGAGACCCAGAGTGGAAGGAGGACACCACACAGGTTGTCCTCTGACTTCCATGTGCATGACACACACAGTCATGACACACACAAAATACATAAACATAATAAAAATTTTTTAAAAGTGTGATTATGGGGGCTGGAGAGATAGCTCAGTAGTTAAGAGCACTGACTGCTCTTGCAGAGGACCCAGGTTCAATTCCTAGCACCTACTTGGTGGCTAACAATCGTCTGTAACTTCAGGTCCCGGGGATCTGACACCTCTTCTGCGGGCATCGCACCACACAGGTGCACCTACCTACATGCAGGCATTATACTCATATACATAAAATAAAAATAATAAAATATTTTAAAAAGTGTGGTTACAAGCTCCTATTTGTCTAGGCTTGGACTGCTCCTGGAACAACAGTGGCATGAATAAGTGGCCCACTGTCTGGTGGTCATGAGGTGCTCCCTTTCTAGTTGAGTGCTTCCCAACTGCCCTGGATCAACAGCTCTATCCCCAAACCTAGGAGCATGCTGTGGAGTCAGTTCTCTCCTTCCACCTTTACATGCACTCCAGGGGTTGAACTGAGATTCAGGCTTGCACAGCAAATGCTTTACATGTTGAGCCATCTTCCTGGGCCCTAAGGAGCATTTTGAAAGCCAAAAAACTACACATGAAAATTGGCCTGCTCAGTCTCCTTAGATTCTTGTTTCCTTCTGACACAGCCGTCATTGCAGCCTGACATCATGAAAAAAGGTTTGTGCTCACCTGATATCTCAGGGTGTTGGGGGCTCCCTTAAGCTCCTGACACGGCCATAAAATCCTATTCTACTCACCCTGGAGGCCACGAGCTGCAGCTGCGGCACCACGGATGTGTGGACCAGGTTCCCGTTCACCACCAAGCGGATCTCCATGGAGTCTGTGGTGAAGGCCAGGAGGTATGGGAAGGCGCAGACTGCAAGGGAATGGTTGAGCCTGTTGGTCTTGTGGTGGCATATGGACCATGAATGGCTCAGTCACTCTTACCACTCTAGAAAGTTCCACAGCTCCCATTCCTCTGTTTCTCATGGGTGGGTATATTCCCCCAGGGCTGAGACGGTCTTCCTGTAGTTGCCAAATGCCTACCTCCCAGTACACACTCTGTGACTATGTCCCTGTCTAATGCCTTGTTACCTGGTCTTCGGGTGGCTCAGCTGCCCAGTCCTGTGGGACTCTCCCCACTCTGCCCAGAGTACATCTTGACACTCCTGTCCCTCAGCACATGCCACCATGCCTGGAAACCTTTCCCGTACTCTTCCTTCTGGACTCAGGCCATGTGTCTCTGGCACTGTCACCCATTCTCTGTGATCCTCTGGCCATGGCTGTGTCTTATTCCTCACTGTCCCTCACAGTATCTCTGGGGCTGAGGGTTTGTTTTTTGGTATAGGTCAAGGCCCCTCTTTGTAATGGTTATCACACACTAACTTCGCTGTACCAAAGCTGCCCTGTGACTGCACCTGTGCCATCTGACTGGTCCTTCAGGCCTGGCTGTCCTTCACCCTGGCCCTCCCAAGCTTCACTCTCCATGGGAGACCTACCCATGCTGGGACTTCCTTGGTGCCTCATTCTCCACATTCCTGCCTCTAGCCCTAATCTCCCCAATGCTGGGTTCAAAGCCGAGTCATGTTTTATTTGTCCTTTTGGCCTATCTCATCTGTCATCAGAGCCTGACCAGGTGCCTACCTCTGGATCTTAGATCTTCCCCCTCTGCTCTCTCAAAATTCTCCATGGGGCTGTTACGTAGCCCAGACTGGCTTTAAATTTTCTGTGTATCCCTGAACTTCTTGTGTTCTTCTTGACTCCACTTCCCAAGTGCTGGGACTACAGGCCTGAGCCTATACCCAGCTCAGCAGAGAGTTTTTGGACTGTGAGGAAAACAGTCCTAACTGGAACATTCTTGGCTTTAGGGTGACTCTCTGATTCCCATTTTGGATCCTGTGCCACAAACAAGTCCCAACAGCATATCCTCTTGTTTACTGTTAAAGTTCTTATATAATTTGCAGTGCTAGGAACAGAATCCAGGGCCTCGTGGATACCAGGCAAGCACTGGACCGTGGAACCACATCCCTGCTCCAACATCCTGGTGTCTTGTTTACATTTTTATTTTAAAAAGTATTTTATTACTTTTATTTTATGTGTATGAGGGTAATGCCTGCACATATACAAGTGCACCCATGTCATGCAATGCCTGCAGAGGTCAGAAGAGGGGATTCGATTCCCCGGAACTGGAGTTACAGGTTGTTAGCTGCCATATGGGTGCTGGGAATTGAACCTGGGTCTTCTGCAAGAGCAGCCAGTGCTCTTAACTGCTGAGTCATTTCTCCAGCCCCTTTATTTAGGTTTTTTCTTTTAAGACAGGGTTTCCCCATAGCCCCAGCTTCCCTGGAACTTGCTATGTAGACCACGCTGGCCTCGAATTCACAGAGATCCATCTGCCTCTGTCTCCTGAATGCTAGGATTAAAGGCATGTACCACCACAGCCAGCTTCATTTTATTTTTAAAAATTACATTTTAGTGTGTGTGTGCCCAGGCCCCAGAACACTTGTGGAGGTCACAGACAGCCCATGAGAGTTGGTTCTCCCCTTCTACCATGTGGATCCTGGTAATCAAACTCAGGTTGTCAAGTTTTCAGGAGGCACCTTCACCCACTGAGCCATCTCGCCAGCCCCGTCCTGGCATTTTAGTGGCAGGCAAAGTAGCAATGTACTCAACATTCTATGATTCTAGACCTTTTGGGATCTGTAGAACTGATACTGACAAACACTATTCTTCTCTAAGCTTGTCTATTCTCTGGGGATAGAGACCTTGTTCCCAAGTTTTAGAAAAAGATGGTGAGGTTCACAAAAGTTAGCCAACTGCTGACAAACACTATTTGATTGGTCTTGAATGGTCATGTGCCCAGGCACTGAGAAGAACCTTGGGGAACAGATTCCAAAATTAGACATAAAGGAAAAAACACCTAGGAAAGAACAGAGCCCTTGAACTGTTCATACTCCCAGAATGTGGGGCAGTTTTGCTGGGAGCCATCACTGCTCACAAGGGATTGAGGCAGGCAGATGGGTCTAGGCAGGGGCAGGGTGTCCTGATGAAAGTTTTTCTTACCAATCGCATACGGAGCCTGGTTCCAGCAGAACTGGAAATCCGATGCAGAGGGTTGAAGCAAAAAAGAGCCACCATTAAAGGGGCAAACCTTTTTATAGATGCAACTGTCTGCAATGAAAACAACAGAGACTTGTTTTGTTACAGGCAACACTTAGGCCATTGTAGTCAGAGAAACAGAAGACAGCCACAGGAGTGTCATTCTCCCCCCCAGTTCCTTGTGGCCCAAGGTGGCCTTGACTATGTAGCAATGCTCCAGCCTTAGCTCCCCAAGCTGGGATTACAGGCATGAGTATTCTATCTGTCCCTCCCTTCCAGTTCTTTACAGACAACCAGTGCTAACCCTCCCATGGGGCTAGGGCTGAGGGTCATCTGGCCACTGGAGCCAGAATAACATTACTACCACAGCTGCCACCTGCAGAGAATTTACTGTGTGCCAGGTACTAGGCTTTCAGAACACTGTCTGACTTCAGAAAGTACATGCTGTTATCCTATAAAACTCACTTTACAGATGACACTGAGGCTAGGAGAGGTGAAATAGACTGCCCTGAGTCTCACAGCTCTCTTGGGGGGGTGGGGGGAGCAGCACTCAAATACAGTCCTGCCAGGCTGCAAAGCCTGTGTGCATCCTGCTTACCCTACACTTTCACTCACCCCAAGAAGGATCCAGAAGAGGCACTGTTGGCTGTTGGCAATGCCTGGGTAGAGGAAGCCTTTCTACAGGGTGGGCCATACTCTTGAGCCTCACTCATTACGACACGGTGGGAGCTGAATCTTCCCAACCTTTCATTAGGAAACTCAAAGCCCTGCTTGTATCCCTCCCCTTGGTGAACTTTAGCAGCACTACATTAAGGCTGGTTTAACTCGGTCACCCACCCTGGTCCTGGCCTATTCACTAGTGTATGTCACTCAGACCCTCACAAAATAAGAAAGTCATTACAGAAACAAAGGCCCCTTTCATTAACAGAAGCTATGTATGCCTAGTCAGACATTTTTCTTTTAAAATAATAATTATATATATATTTATTTATTTATTTGAGACTGGTCTCCCTATAGCCCCCAGCTGGCCTGGAACTTGCTATTTAGACCAAACTGGCCTTGAACTACAGAGATCCTCCTGCCTCTGCCTCCCAGGTGCTGGTATTAAAGGTGTTCACTACCATGCCTGGCTTTTATCATATTTTTTGACACAGGGTCTTACTATGTAGCCCTAGCTGGACTGGACCTTGCAATTCTCTGACTCGCCCCACTGAATGCTAGGATTTTAAGAGTGTGCCATCATGCCTGACTTAAAATTATTTTACCTTTTCCTTTATTCATGTGTATGTGTATGCAGTGTTACACGTGCGCATAGGCCTGTGTGTACACATGCAGGTGGAGGCCAGATGTTGATGCTGGGTGTCGTCCTTGATCTCTCTCCACCTTCTTCATTGAGGCAGGGCTATCAATCAAACCCAGAGCTTGCAGATATGGCTAGTCTTGCTAGCTAGCTTGCTCTGGGAGTTAGAATCACAGGTGGTTTCTATGTTCACCGGGCATTTATTGGGTTCTGTGATCCCAACTCTGTTCCTCACACTTGGGTGGCAAGCACTTTAACCATGGAGCCATCTCCCCAGCCCCACCATTCACAATGCTCTGCAGTGCACCTGATGCCAGTGTATCATTCCTTTTTATGGTTGAATAATATTGCAACCTACAGACAGACTGCATTTTGTGAATCTGCTTATAACTGACGGCCATTTGGGTTGTTTTCCACTACTGTGATAAAGCTACTGTGAACATCTTTGTGTAAGTCTGAGTGGATGTGTTTCCTGTCTCCTGTGTGGATACAGGAGTAGAAGTGCTGAGTGATAGGTAAGGCATCCAATTTTTTATTTCCTATCAAATACCTATTTTGAAAATTTTATTTTTATTTTATGTGTATGAAGTTTTGTCTGCATGGATGTAAGTGCACCATGTGCACACAGTGCTCAAAGAGGTCAGATGAGGAGGTTAGAGTCCCTGGAACTAGAATTATGGATGGTTGTTAGCCACCATATAGGTGCTGGAAATTGAACCTGGGTCCTCTGCAAGAGCAGCCAGTGCTCTTAACTGCTGAGCCATCTCTCCAGTCCTTT